TTCCCGTGCCTTTGGAACGTCCCCGTTCCAACCCAACTCCCATCCCRCTTTTCCTCTTTTCCCTGGATTTTTTCCGCCGCCTTCCCTCGGCCCAGAGTCCCGTTGGCATCCCGGGGGGATGGAGACACCAGGCAGGAAGGCCAAAATCTTGGGAATTTGGGATTTGCTTGGGTTTTTTCCTGGGAATTTGACGTGTCGGGGGCCGGGTTTGTCCCTCGGATCCCGATTCCGGAAAAATCCTTTTCCCTGGCAGTTTGGCCATGGAATGTTTCATTCCAAGGATGTGTGTCCTGCAGGGACAAGGTGGGATGAGCCCTGGATTGCCCCTGGAATCCTGGGAATGGCTGAGTCCTTTATCCATTAATTCCCAATTTCCTTGGAAATCAGGGAAAACGCGGGATTAGAGGCGTTTTCCCGGGATAAAACGAGGTGAGGGGGGTCGTGGGCTTCCCAGAAAATGCTGGATGCGTGTTTGAATCCCAACTGCTTCCTGCATGGAATCTGATCAAAGGGATTGCTGGGAATTCCGGGCACAAATTCCGGGTCGCCCGAATTGTGGGAATTCTCACTCCAGCTGCTCTTTTTCCCGGGGTTTTCCCAAGCTGGAATCGCTTTGCTGGAAGCCCTGGAGCGTTTCTGCTTCCTGGGATTTCCTTGGAATTGCCGTGGGATCCGACTCCGAGGGCGGGCCGGGAGGTTGGTTGTTCTCCGGGTTCCGTAGGGATCACGGGTCTCCAGGCTGGGAATTCCTGGATCCCGGACAACCCAGGAATTCCTGGCGTGTTTGGAGCAGGGATTTGGCTGTGGGACTTTTGCCTTATGGAAAAAAATTCCATGTGAGCCGAGGGAATACTTGGATCAGAGCCTGTGTCCTTCCCTGCCGGACACATCCCTGCAGCTTTTCCTGGGAATGTGGGGCTGGTCCCTTCTGTTCTTCCAGGCTTTTCCCTGGTGTTCCCTGGATGGGAATGTGGGATGGAGGAGCCTTGGAGTCTCCTCTCATTCCTGCTCTTCCCAGAGCTCCAGTCTGGGCAATAAGTGTTCCCTTTCCTGAAGAATTCCTGGAGATAAACGGGAATAACTGTTCCTCCTCCTGTGTGTTCTTCTGCTGGAGCTCTCCCTGTTGTGTTGGTGGCATTCCAGGATCTGGGATTCCAGGATCTGGAATTCCTTGCTGGAGAAGGGAGAGGGTGAATGATTCACCCCCCTTGGGTTGGAAGTCGGGGATTCCCATGGAATTCACCCCATTCCCAGGAAAAAGGCTCCCCAGCTTCCTCATTCCTGCTGCTGCAATTCCAGGGGTTTCCCGTGGGTTGGTGTTGCTGAAATCCAATTTGTTTTCCATTGGAATCCTGGAATGGTTTGGGTGGGAAGGGACCTTAAAACCCATCCCAGTGCCAATCCCAGGGACACTTTCCACTGTCCCAGGTTGCTCCAGCCTGGCCTTGGACACTTCCAGGGATCCAGGGGCAGCCACAGCTTCTC